TTCCTCAAAGGAATTCCGCTGAGAAAAGCAGAGAAAAGCAGAGATATGTTCTCTGCTGAGAAAAGCAGAGATATCTTCAATCCAAGGGGAGTCCCCCCCCCCCCACACACACACCTGTATAAAAATACACCAGCAAGAGCCTGAACTATAAAACCAAACAAACCACAACCATATATGGAATTTTAAAATCTGGTGATTTTGCAATGTGTCAACTTCTAAGCTGAATAGCAGTTTCTATAATTCCCTTTCTGGCTTCATGCAGGTGAAATTTGTGCGAGATGGGTGAGGCAGAAGGGAAGCTGAGCCATTCGGATCCTGGAGAGTCCCTGCAGGTGCTCCTGTAGCTCATGCCTGGCCAAAGCACTTCAGGAAGCCCCTCACCCCCAACTCCACCCGTATCATTTCTCCTGCCCAACCTATTTGCAAGTCCCTCAGCTCCCCTACCTCCCCTGCCTCTCCCCACCTCACTTGAGTTAGATTTGTATGGGTATATGGTCATAATGATGAATATTATTATTATTATTTTGAGACAGGGTCTTCCTCAGTCGCCCAGGCTGCGGTGCTGTGGTATGATCTCTGCTCACTGCAACCTCCACCTCCTGGGCTCAGGTGATCTTCCTGCCTCAGCCTCCCGAGTAGCTGGGACTATAGGGTCGCGCCACTACACCTGGGTAATTTTTTGTATTGTTTTGTAGAGATGTGGGGGCAGGTCTCTTCATTGCTGTCCAGGCTGGTCTCGAACTCCTGGGCTCAAGCGATCTAGCTGCCTCAGCCTCCCAAAATGCTGGGATTACAGGCTTGAGTCACTGCCCAGCTAGTTTGGGTATATTATTAATACATGTTCCCCACCTCCTCTCAGTTCCCCAAGCACCCCCACTTTCCCCAGTCCCCCATCTCCCAGAGGACTCCTTCTTTCAGCTGCTCCAAACTGTGGCCAGGTGTGAGCCAGTGCAGTTCCAGGGCAGGAGTGTGCCTCCTCCTGCAGGCAGGCCTCCTGGGTAGCAAGATTGGAGCCTGGAGAGAGAGAGGCCAAGGCAGGTTCCACCTTGTTCACTGGGGGTTCCCATTGTCCCTGCTCTCCCCTGTCACTCCTATCTTTCAATTGCAACACTGACCCTGGGACTTCAAGCATATGACCCCACTCAGAAGAAACAAGACTGTGTGCCCAGCTCCCACAGCAGTCAAATCCCTACAGTGGGCTCCTCGTTCTACATCACTCCTAGTGGTTCTGCTTTCGCAAACCCCAGCAAACAATGTGTCATAAAGGGGAGACATGGAAACAGGGAAGTTATTGCCAGGATTGCATTTTACATTTCAGACATGTCCTCGCCAATCTCGCTGGCATCTGGGCTGGGGTACAAAGGTCCCAGCTTGGCCAGGCTGATGTCTGCAAACCCCAGCCCTGACTGGCAGATGGGCCATGCCTCTGACCATCTCTCCTGCCTGCTAGACCACTTTAATGTACCCTTTCCATCTCAAGCACAGGAACGATTCCCTTCTGGAATGTTCCTCCTTCTGAGGCTTTGAGAAGGCTCGCTCTGGGGAGCAGATGGTAACTCCTGGGAGCGGCACCTCTTTCCTCACTTAGAGCCTAGGTGGGGTGAGGAGGGTGAGAAAAAGAAGGGGCCAGAAGAGAGTGAGGAGGGGAGCCCCAGGCTTTGGGGAGAAGCCCAGCAAGTGTGCAACGCCCTGCAAAGCATTTCCTCTCTCTCCCTCCCTCCTTTCTATTCCCTGACTTTACGGCTGCTACACTGGGGGAGCTGGGTTGGCCTCCTCTGCATCTACATTCCCGTGGGAACCAGCTGCACTACTTCCAGAAATGCCCTGCCCCAGTGGGTCCTTGGTGCTGGGCCCACCTTCCAGTAGGTTTCAAGAAATGTGTGCCCATAAATAAATCCTCCAAAGTGATACCAATCAGCAGGCACCACCAAAGTGTCCCTGGAAGTGACTTTTCCGTAGGAATCTGTTATTTCTGAATTGGATGGAGGGAGTCTCTGATCTCCCCCTTCCCCTGCCTTCTGTCCTGGCTCATCCCTCCAAAGAAAGGGAGGGCCCCTCCTGGCCCCAGCCTGCCAGGGAAGGGAGTGCTGTGAACTTAGCTGGTGTGGCCTGGAAAGCCCTTTAATGGACCCAGTTTGGTGGGGTGTACCCCCAGAGCAGGGGCCAGGGTGGTGGCAGCAGGGTAAGCCACTGTGGCTGTCACACAAGATAACTGGAGACCTTCCCCAGTCTGGACAGACTTCCAGTTTAAGCCTGATTTAATGACAAGCTGAGCACAGACTCCTGAACCTCAACACCTGCAAAAATCCAAAACCAAACAAACAAAAAACAACCAAAAAAGAATTTCAAGGGAATTTCCTTAGTGGGAAATGAGGCACTGGGCAGGGCCTGGGGGACAGCAGCAAGTAAGGAGCCCTCAGATCTGTGGGGATTTCGGGTAAGGTGCTTCTCTAAGCTGTTTCAGACCCAGGGCTCCTCCTGTTCGCACCGAGCCTAGTCTGCTGGCCTCAAGGTGACCAGGAGGTTCAAGGGCAAAGCTGTGATTACTTAGAGCAGGACAGATGCTGATTTAGGTTCCAGTTCTGCCTGGTTCTAGTTATGGGACCTTTGGCATTCATTACTTTTTACCCCTAATTTTATCTTCTGTAAAGTGAAGATTGTATTTATCTCACACCGCTTCTATGAAACAGCCAGTCTACTGTGTTAAATAATATAAATCCCCGCCCTGCCTCTATTCTCAGCCACAAGCACTGTTTGGTATCTGGGGTGGATCATTCTTTGCTGTGCATTTTGTGGGAGGCTTAGCTGCATCCCCAACCTCTACCCACTAGATGCCAGTAGTACCCCCAGTTGTAACAACCAAAAATGTCTCCAGACATTGCCAAGTGTCCCTTGGAGAAGAGCCCATGTTGAGAACCCCTGCTCTGTGGAGATGAGGCCCAGTAATTCTCCGTAAGTTGGCATTAGGAGGGGGGTGGGGCAGAAGGCACTGCCTTCAAGGGTTTGTCCTTACCTTACAAGCTTCCAGACCATGGCCAAGCCCTTGGGCTTCTTGGGGCCTATTCCCTCATCTGTAAGTTGGTGGAACAATATACTCAACAACAGGCTGATAGAATCGTGGGTGATTGTGATGTGACAGTGTTATTTGAATTGAAGGCACCATTATCATCTGGAATGGTGGGTCCTTGAGAACAGGGATTCTGTCTCTCCGGTTCACTGCCGGTCCTGAGACACAGCCAGGATGGATGGAGGGAAATGGACGCTGAAGGAGGAGGTGAATATTCAATGTGCTGCCTCTGGGCCTGGTGAGCTGGGCTGGGCCCCATGACTCCTTCAGCTTTAAAAGTCAATAAAATTGATTCATCCATCACCCTTTGACCCCTGCAGCAGGGCTGTCACCCAGAGGATGGTTTCAAACTGGAGTGTGCCCAGATCCGCTGGAGGTGCGTCAGAAACCTGGCTTCCTACCACGCATACTCCAGCCATACTGCTCCAGGGTCCCATTCGGTGGGCCTGGGAGGCCCAGGATTCTGCATTTGAATCCCCTGCAATCTGACTCAGCTGCTCTGTCATCTTCCATGTCCTGGGGACATCTGAAAGCATCTGGGACAGGGCACCCAGCAGGATGGGCAGCCCTCCCCAGCAGGTTCAGGCCCAGCCATCCCCACTTCTCCCAGTGTGGAAACTACTTGGATCCCCCAACTCCACCTGGTAGGCATTCTGATGCCCTGCACCCACAGATTGCTGCCAGGGCCAACCCTGGTTGCTATGGGGCTTTCCTGGTGACCAGAATTTGCTTTCTGGTTTGTTTTAATTGTTGCCTTCGTTTTGACAAAACAGCTGACGGGCAGAGTTGTTCAGGAGTAAGGGCTCTGCTTTGGAGACTGCAAGGAGAGGACCCTGAATCTGAGCCTGTTGGGTCTTGGTGGCCCCGCAGACTCTGCTGTGACTGCCCTGACCATCTTTGCAAATCAGGCTTTATTAGGGCAGAAACTTGGACTAGTGGATCCTCAGCAAATTCTGGTTTTAAATAAACCACATTATGGAAACTTGTAAGCAGTATCTAAACTTCCCACAGAGCCCCGATGGTAAGCAAAATCGTCACTCTTTAAACCTGCTGAGAAGCCACCTCTGCCAAATTCTGAGGCACCCCAGAAAGGCCCTGGAGCCTCTCCCAAGCCTCCTTAGTTCGGCTCCTTTGGCAGGAACCCCTCAAACTCCAGGAACACACAGAGCTGATGATGCTGATTTTAAAATCCTACTTTTTTTTTTTTTTTTTTTTTCTATTCAGAAGCCCTTATTAAGCTAATCAGGGTTCTTAATAGCTTCATTTACAACTGTTTTATCCCAAGATTTACTTAGGGTTCAAGAACAACCAGCTGTGTCCCCACCCCAAATGGCAGCTGCAAAGAACCCCCTCTGCACCCTGTCACAGTAAATCCAGGCTGCTCTCTGTCTGTGCAGGAGATGAGGGGATGGGTGGGAGCTTCATGAAGAATCAGATGGGGAGAGCCTGGCTCCATGCAGAAAGATTTGCGTCCACCAAGGGTTGGAATACAGATTTCATAACCTCTATTCTCCAGGCACCATCTTGGTCCCCCAAAGGGGCTTTCTCCTTAAACTTTTTCCCCTGGTCCCTGGCAATTGCCATTCTACTTTCTGTTTCTATGAATGTGACTACTCTGTGTACCTCATATAAGTGGAATCCTACGGTATTTGCCCTTTAGTGAAACTGGTTTATTCCACTTAACAGAACGTCCTGAAGGTTCATCCGTACCATGTGTCAGGATTTTCTTCCTTTAAAAGGCTGAAAAATATTTAATTCTGTGGATGTGCCACATTTTGTTTATCCACTCATTCATAATGGACACTGGGGCTACTTTCTCCTTTTGCCAGGGTGAATCGTGATGTTACGAACGTGGGTGTACAGATCTCTCTTTGAGACCCTGCTTTTAATTCTTTTGGGTATATTATCCAGAAATAGAATTGCTAGAACACATGCTGTTTCTACATTTAATTTTTTGAGGAACTGCCATACCGTTTCCCATAACAGCTGCACCATTTTACATTCCCACTAACAGTGCACAAAAATTTTAATTTCTCCACACCTTCCCCAACACTTCTTATTTTCTGTTTGTTTGTTTGTTTACAATTTTTATAGCAGTCATCCTAATGAACTTAAGGTGGTATCTCATTATAGTTTTGATTTGCATTTCTCTAATAATTAGTGATGTTGAGTATTTTTTCATATGCTTTTTGATCTTTTGTATATCTTCTTTGGAGAAATGTTTATTCAAGTCTTTTGTCCATTTTTTAATTAGATTGTTACTTTTTGGTTGTATCCACATTTTCTGTGTTCACGTAAGTCATTGATAAAATGTAGGACTGGCGGGACCTGAGGGCAGGCCCCTGTGGCACACTGCTCAAAACATCACTCCTGTGTGCTTGGGGTTCACATGAATCATTCAGCAGCTCAGACACCCTAATGCAGCTCAGGCCCCACTCTCATGTTCCCTCATCAACCCAGCGAGGAAGACTCCAGATTGCCCAGCACTCTGATTCATGCCAACTCTCAGGCTTCCTCTCCTACTGACCGTGTTTGGTTTTCTCTATTGAGGATATAGAGGAAATAAGGAGTTCAACTTCCCCTGTGTCTTTAACCTCAAAGCAAGAGCATGATTCAAATCTGGGAACTTCTGCAAAATGATCTGAGTAACCTTGACAAAGACAGTTCATCCTTCTAAGCCTCTGTTGCTTTATAAGATGGGGATAACCATCATGATTTCTCCTGCATAGGATGATTGGGAGAATAGGGTGATTTTAGGGAATTGAACAGTGGGTTTCTCACCTGCTACATAGTAAGGCCATCAATCAACAGTAACTCTTGACATTAAATGTTCTTTCTCCAACGCTTCTAAAAGAGACTTTGGCTGTCTTGAGTATTTTCTCATTTATCCTGAAGTCTCTTCTTTGGGACTTTTTCTTTTCCACCATGAATGTTCCAAGTCTGTGACGCCTGACCTGTTGACCCACCTTTCTGCACACCTGTTCAGATCTCAGCCCATTACAGAGTGGTCTGCACAGCTGGAGTGTTGCAGGTGCTTTCTTTTACTTCCTCATGGAGAGTATTTGTGAGTGTAGTCACAGTGCCATCTTTAAAAAGCTTCCCAACTCTCCTGTCTGCATCTCATGTCATGGCAGGAAGCCAGTGTTGTCTCTGACTGTTAAAAGAATTCTGTCTTCTGGAAGCCAAGTGCACATGTCCAACTCTGCCCAAAACTTTCCAGTTATAGTAGAATTTGAAGTGAAAAGAGTCACATTCCCACATACCATGGACTTTCACTCTGTCAGCCCTTTCCTCCTTGTTGGGCAGAACTGGTTCAAGAAAAGACAGGAGTCAGGAGAAGGTGCTGGGAACGTCAGCTGGAGCCAGATGGGAGAGAAACCTACTAGGCCATGAGGAGTCATTGAAGGTTCTAAGCAGAGTGGCGACATGTTTGGAGCAGAGCCTGGGGAAGAGTTCTCTCTCAAGGTTATCAGGGTGTGCAAGGGAAGTGATGGAGGAAGAGAAGATTGGAGTAGAGTGAGAGGCCATGGCAGCTGGTTGGAGGTGGCTGGTGAGAGATCCAGGAGAGGACAGTCCTGAGATCTGCTGATGCCATTCCTGAGACCTGGGAGAACTGAAATGCCATCAATAGAGATGTTTGCTGGGGTATCAAGCTGGATGTGGTAGTGCCGCGTGCAGAGGGAGAGGGCAATGGTAACATGGTGCTGACTTTTATTTGTGTGACAATTTTGCTATGAGACAAATGTCATATAACACAAAACCCACCATTTTGGGGTTTTGGCTGGGCACAGTGGTTCATGCCTGTAATCCTAGCACTTTGGGAGGCTGAGCTAGGCAGATCACTTGAGCCCAGGAGTTCGAGACCAGCCTGGGAAACATGGCAAAACTTCATCTCTACAAAAATTAATAATATTAATAACAAAAATTAGCCAGGCATGCTGACACTTACCTGTAGTCTCAGCTACTTGAGAGGCTGAGGCAGGAGGATCACTTGAGCCCATGAGGTTGAGGCTGCAGTGTGCCATGATTTACCACTGCACTCCAGCCTAGATGACAGAGTAAGACCCAGTCTCAAAAAGAAAAAAAAACAAAAAACAAAAAATCCTACCATTTTAAAGTGTACAATTCAGTGGTTTTCACTATATTTACAATGTTATACAACCATCACCATTATCTAGTTCCAGAATATTTTCATCAGACCCAGAAGAAACCTGTGCTTGTTCGCAGACACTCCCAATTCCCCCACCACTGATACTCCTGTCCTCAGCCCCTTGGCAACGACTAATCTACTGTCCATCTCTACAGAGTTGCCTAGTCCAGACACTTCATATAAATGGAACCCACTTAGCATCATGTCTACAAGGTTCGTGCACGCTATAGCATATATCAGAACTCCCTTCCTTTTTATGACTGAATAATATTCCACCATATGGAGAGACAACATTTTGGCTCTATCGGTTGATGGACATTTAGGTTATTTCTACTGCTATCTAACAGGAATAGTACTGCTGTGAACACTTGTGTCCAAGTTTCTCTGTGGGACCATGTTTTCAACTGTCTTGGGTGTATACCTAGGAGCGAAGTTGCTGAGTCATATGGGAATCCTATGTTTAGGTTTTTGAGAAACTGCCAGACCAAACTGTTTTCCAAAGGGGCTGCACCATTTCACATTCCCACAGTGGTGCATGAGGGTTCTACTTTATCCACATTCTCACTTACACTTGTTATTTTTTTTCTTTTAAAAAAAGTTTTAACCATTCAAGTGTGTGGGAACTGGCATCTTACTGTGTTTTTGATTTGCATTTCCCTCTTAGCTAATGCTGTTGAGCATGCAGCTGAAATTTAGTGAGGACACTACTCACCTATAACTCGTCAGTGGAGCAGGTATGAGATTGAGTCCACAACTTCAGATATTCAAGCAACGAACTTTGTTTCTGCAACATTGCCAGTTTCCATGTTGAACCTTCATTCTGCCATGGTTGTGTAACAGGACCCCAAAGTAACAGTGCCTTAAACTGGGAAAGTTAGATTTCCTCCTTCCATAAGACGGCAGAGGCAGGTGGTCCCTGCGTCCAGTGGCTGTGCTAGATGGGCCAGTGCAGGCTCTTTCTCTCCTGTGGCTTCATTGTCCTGGGGTGTTCACCTCCTCTGCATCATCCAAGATATCTCTCATCACATCCACACTCTGAACAGCAGGATGGAAAATGTCCCTTCCCTTTAAGGGGGCAACCCTGAAGTCACACACATTATTCCTTACGGGCCAATACTTAGTGGCAATGCCATCAAGTCACCTCTTTCTGCAAAGCACGCTGGAAGTTGTAGTCTTCACGATGGGTGGCCTTGCAACAGGTAGAAATCTGTAGTTGTGTTTCTGATAAGATGAGAACAGATACTGAGGGACAAATAGCAGTCTTGGTCACACTAGGTCTGTTAGAGGACATCATCCCCATCATTTGAATTGGCACAAGGGTGGCGGGAACCACAGGGGGAAGACCCACCCTGACACTCTGATGATGTTTTTGGGCTGGAAGAGGAAGAAGAATCAGCAATGCCCCAGGCGCGCCTCAAGCACATGCTCCTCAGCACTGGGATCCTCTTCCTGGCTGCTCCCCTCATGCCTCGTCCCTCAGCTCTCTCCTCCACCCGACCCTTCCCTCAGCCTCTTTCCCCACCAAACTTTCGGGTGTGGGGTTCTCTCTTGACTCACCATTCTTCATTCCCAGGATGCTTAGATTTACCACTTAGGGGACAATAGCCAGTTGAAGGCTGCCCAAACCTCCATGGCCCTGAGCCACCGTCTCCCACCCCATTTTCCCAGTCTGTTCTATATGTGGTCTCCTGCCACCCCATCTCCTTTACTGCCTGTCCAGGTCCCAGTCACCGTGTCCTCCGAAGTCCTGGTGATCACGCCCTTGCCTTCCTGCGCACATCTCTTTGGAGCCTTCTGAGGGCGAGGAGGGATGTAGCATCCTTCCACGAGTGAAGCCTTTGACATCCATGGTCTCACTGAATTCTCTAGCATCCTCTGAGGAGGGGCTGGCTGTCCTCATTTCACATGAGAGGACTCTAAAGCTCAGAGCTGCTAAGTACCCAGGACCTCCCTCCACCCTGCCAGAAACAATAGTGCTGGAATCATGCCCCAGGGCAGGTGGCCCACTCCACTTTACCCCACAGCTGACTCTTTTCTGCCCCAAATTCCAAATCTGTACTTCCAACCTCTGCTCCCCTGGAGCCTAGCATAGCACTCTTCTGCCCAAGGTATTGAAGTTGAGTCTCAGGTAAACCCAATCTGTTTCCTTCCACTCCCAAGATGCAAGAGGAAAAGGGAAAAAAAAGTGGAGAACATGCTTATGAAATCTCAACTCCCCTTGTTTACTCTGTAAATAGCACAGTATGTTTAGATTTTTCCACATCTAGAGGATTTCAAAATCTGCCTGGGAGGGAGGGCTGGGGCATCAACTGGTATGCAATGTGCTTTTTAAATTTAAAAAGTGCTATGCAAAGAAAAGCACTGCCTTTGGGCCAGGTCACAGCCGCTTCCTTTCCCAGCGCCTGCTCTCCTGGGTTATCTGGTGGAACTGTCTTTAGTTAGCAGGGTGAGAGGCACCAGAGTGGGAGCAAAGGGCGAGAGGCTTTGGAGCCACAGCAGCCTTGTTTAGCAGGACTTGAGGAAGGTTCGTCTGAGCCTTGATTTTCCCACTGTGAAATCGAGCTAATAATTATCCACCTTGCAGAGATGTTGTGACGATTCCGTTGTGAAGATTCACACTGGAAGAGTTCAGAAGCTTAGTAAATGCTAATGTTCATGTCATTAGAACTGGGACATTACATGTCCAACTACTACGAAACTGTCTCACAAGCTGTAATTTACTGACCCAGACTTCGAGTTTCTCAGCTGAGAAAAAGAACCTCCCCACCAGCACCCTAGGAAAGCTCAAGGGCAGTGGCTTGGCTCTCAGAGCATCTGCCCTCCAGGTAAGGACTGCTGGCTCCTGCCACGGGACTTGGGCTTCGGCCCTTGCCTTCCCTGACCTGGGAGAGGGTGGACCTGGGAGAGGATGAGGAGGCATTGCCTGGACAGACAGAGACAGAGCTGGGGCAAAGTTCCCAGGCAGCTGCCAGCCCTGGAGGCAAGGTCAGGAAGCACGTGGAGACCCAGAAGGGACCTGACACTGTGATGTGGGCTGACTTACACAGTGCAGGCAGACATCTGCACTCAGGGCAGGTGACCCAGGTGGCCCAGGATGGCAGCCAGCAGGGCCCTGTGGTGTACCTATAATTTTGGAGTGAAATCTAACTTAGGTGCGTGTCCACTCACTGCCTGCCAGTCTCGGATGGGTTCTGACAACAGAGGAAACAGCTTAGTGGAAGCACAGAAAAATAGCAGCCGATAACAGCTCTGGAAACTAAACCTCTGGGTGGCAGAACTGCAGGGCACTCAAGGGAGCCTGTCGTTCCACCTCTTCATTTTGTGGAGGAGAAACCAATGCCCACGGAGACCAGTGTCTTATCCACTCAGATGCAGCAGGCCAATGGCCTAGAGCCAGTCAGGGGCTCTTTCTCCTCCACCATGGCTTCTCAGCATTGTCAACCCAGTCTCCTCTTTACATGACAAATATTTTGTAATGACCTCTTTACTATCCTGATATAGCATTTATAGATAATATAACCTGCCTTTATCCGTAATAAAAAAATCAATGTAATGCCCTACCTGTAATATAGGGAGAAATAAAAGGAAAGTCATTTATAATAAAGTAGTTCAATAAGTAAATACACAGGCACAACTGTACTCAAATGAATGCCACAGCTATACACGCAGACTGATGGTGGCAAGTTGTATTGTATTTGTGACTTCAATACCTTAAGTGTTGTTGCTGTTGATTACATGATTTTTCTTTTTTTTTCTTTGAGAGGGAGTCTCACTCTGTCGCCCAGGCTGGAGTGTAGTGATGTGATCTCGGCTCTCTGCAACCTCTGCCTCCTGGGTTCAAGTGATTCTCCTGCCTCAGCCTCCCAAGCAGCTGGGATTACAGACAGGCACCACCATGCCCAACTGATTTTTGTATTTTTAGTAGAGATAGGGTTTCCTCATTTTGGCCAGGCTGGTCTCGAACTCCTAACCTCAGGTGATCCACCTGCCTCAGCCTCTCAAAGTGCTGGGATTACAGGTGTGAGCCACCGCACCTGACTGATTTTGTGATTTTTCTGAAATGGCAAACAACTCTTGGCAAAGACAGGGCGAGCTCCCCTCTAGAGAAATGTGAGCCCGTTTCCTTGAATGCAGATGAGGCAGGGGTAAAGTGTGCTTTCTCTAGGAGGTGCAATCCCAGGGCAGCAAGCATGAAAGACAAGGAAGCGCAGCAGTGAAGGTGGAAAGCCACACAAACTGATACGCTGCTGGACAGCCGCTGCTTCAAGACACGCTGTGAGGGGGGTGTGTACGCTCAGCCACATGGGAAGACCCCAGCCAGCTTGTACAGAGAAATCAAACTTTAGAACAGTCCCCAGGGAGAAGAAAGAAAGTGGGAATCCTGATACCCAATGACCAAAGTTCATTCCATGGGGAACTGACTCTCCCGCACTTCTGGGTTATGTTATCTGGTCCCTTGGCAACTGAGCAGGAAGCCAGATTGCACCTCCTTGAGCGTGGCCTGTTATGTGATGCTAGAAGCAACAGGAGCATCCTGAGAGTCACGGTACAAGGGCACACGGCTGGTGGGGCTCAGGTGGTGGAATGAGGATGCCTTGTTGAGACTCAGGTGGAGCAAAAAGCTGAAAGCCTGGGTGGCAAGGTACAGCGAAGAGAATCTGAGGAGATGAATATGCTGCTGTGTCCGATCCAATACAGTGATTGCAATCCTGGAAGACTCGTTGTATGTTAAAACCTTTTAAATTTGTTATGTTTATATATGAAAAAGAGTTACATTTCAAGCTCAGATCACTATGAAGACGTTTTTCAATCTATTCCAATGTTTAATGGAACATCTGAAAGTCACATAGAGCATGGGACAATTATTGATTCTGTGGGACTGTCCCTTAGATTTCAGG